ACTGCTGTTGGAAAAGTCCCGGCCAGCCACAGGTTTCTGAATCACTGTCATTGTTGCTTAGACCAAAATACATCACTGCCACTAAAAAGTACTAAATCACAAATAGGACCTGGATGGTTCCCAAGGGGGAATCCTGGAATTCCAAATTTGCTTGTTATAAACCTTATGCTAACAACTTCAGAAGCCTTACAAAAATCCAGCTCCTCATTTCTAATAATTAAATATTATACCAGGATTTTGTTAGATTTCTCTTAATCAAAGATAAAACTAACATTAAGAACAACATTAAATTCATACTTAAGAAAAAAATTCTACCATTTAGAAATCCAAAAGTAATCCCCCCAAATAACTATGAGGATAAAACCAAAAAATATGAGATGTAATTATTAACAATTTAAAATATATTTTTTAAAATTTAGACTCTATATATTCAGACTTAAGAAATGAGTCCAGGACCGGGACTAAATAGCTCACTGGAGGAGCATTTGCCTTGTATGTAGAAGGTCCTGGGTTTGATCCTACAAACAAAGAAAAAAGTAAAGGAAGAAAGAAAGAAAAAGACATATCCAAAGCTATACTCAAAGGAAAATGCATAGTATTAAATGTTGTGCTATAAAGACGTTAAGACTTGTCTAGCTATCCCCCCAAAGTCTCACACAGTCACAGTTGAGGCTTCTCAGAGGTGGCTGAATCTAGAGTGTGTGATGCTGGGATGGAGGGTGTGTGACTACTAAATTAGTTCATTGATTGGTTTGACATAGTTCTGGGTGTAGATAATGGGAAGGTCCACCCTGGGTATGACTGCTACCTACTCTAAGGATGTAGAGCCTGGATAGAATAGAAGAGACAGAAAGAGGGCTGCAGTTGTCACTTGCCACTGGTTGCTTGCTTCCTTGATGCCTTTTGCCTGCCATGAACTGTTTTTTTTCTGTGCTACCCCTCTTCCATGCCATTCTGCCTTGGAGTCAGCGAACTATGAACTGAAACCTCTACAAAGTGTAAGCTACAATAAACCTTTCCTCCTTTAACTTTAGGCATCAGGTATTTTGTCTCCACAATGAAAAAAGTAACGAAGACAAAAGGAAAAGGGGAAAATTATAAAATGAATCAAGCACACCAATACTCCTGAAACTCTTCCATGACACTGCAAGTGAGATATCATTGCCAAAGTCATTCCTAGAGGTGAGCATTACCCTGATACCAAAAGCACACAAGGAGTTAACAAAAAAGAAAACTACAGGCCAGTCACCTCAATGAACATAGATGCAAACAGAATTCAACAAATCATCGAAAAGATCACACATCACAACCAAGTCAGTTTAATCCCAGGGATGCAAGGATGGTTCAACATCAGCAAATCAATAAATAGAACATTCCACAGAAATAGAAGTAAGGATAAAACCCACATGATCACCTCAATAGATGCAGAAAATGTGGTGATGAAGAGGGGACATGGGGATGGAGGAGACCATTGGGAGGGGGAAGGGGAAGTAAAAAGGGTCAAGATTCGATTTATATATACAGCCATTCTGCACAATAAATGCATTTATTTTGTACTGCAAACATACCAATAAAAAAGGAAAAAAATACAGTAAGTATGCACTTTCAGATATCATGATGGGAACAAAGAATGGTATTTTTAAATTAAAAAGTAACATAAAGGAAACAGGAGGCAGAAATATATCAGAATGGAGAAATAAATCCACAAGTTCATTATTGGCAAAGCCAATGACAGACTTTGACAAAGCTTATTTGAAAGAGAAAGAATCCAGTTTAACAGAGTCATAGTCTGAAAACTATACTTCTCTTTCTTGCTTTCTATTTTGTTGCCCAGGCTGGCCTGAAACTGTGATCCTCCTGCCTTGACCTCCCATGTGGCTGGTTTCAGGTACATGCCACTGCACCAGGTTTTTGCTTTCTGAGTATGTGGCATCCTCCTGGCCAATTTGAAATATCCTTCAGCAGACAATGGAGAGAGCAACCCTTTTAATGAAAGAATGCATACTCTGGTTTCTCTTCAGATCATATAAATCTTTCGCTTTTTTAATGAAAGAATGCAAAGATAAAGGGTAATGTTGGATAAGCAATTAGAATTCACTGCAAGTGCAAAGAGATTTCCCAAATTCCTCTTACCTCTTTTAGGACACTAAACACCTTACCTGGAAGACACAGCTCCTTGGCTTGTCCTGATCCCTCTCCCTTGGTCCTCATCATATACCATTAAAGCTTACACCTGAGCCAGGCCTGGAGTTTGAGTCACAGCCCAAAAAATATGATGGAGAGGGAAGCCCAAACATCTCCAGCACTGTGTAAGGATGGAAGAGAGATAAAGGCAGAGAAGAATTGGAGCCTGGAGAGAGAACAGGAGGAGCAATAAAAAAGTAGCACCAAGTGTAATAACAAGAACAAGAGGGAATTTTTGCCTCCTCTTCCTCCAATTACGAGTCTAGAAACAGATCACTTCTTAGGCAGTCCCCTCTCTTGAAACTAACCTAAGAGGAGGGTCTTATTTACTTGGTGTGGCAAATAGAAGAGGACCCGATATTGAGTTTCCTGATTCTTTTATGTTAAAATGGGGCCCAGGAAAAAGCAAAATTTCCCCAGTGTCTTGAAAGGACTCATCTGTGGTCACTCAAGACAGCCGGGGGACACCAGCCGGGAAAATGCCTAAGAAAAAGAAAGAACCACAAGCCTCCAATGTCACAACGGGCTGCTCACAGGGTATCTGGCCAACAGAGGGAAATTCACTCTGAGGTTATAGCGGTCAAAGTAACCTACATTCTTGAATTCCAACTCTCACGTCTACCACTACGTTATCAAAGCCCCTCTCTCTTGTAGATCTAGAAGTCATCTTAGAATGAGAAGAGATACAGAGTTATCTGAAAAATGCTACCAAAGAGAAGAAAAAGAGTTGCTTGCTTTGTCACATCTGAGTGTGTGCCCATGCGCACGCACACACGCACACACGTTACCCAGTATCTGTGAAAGTGTCTTGCTTGCACAGCAAGTATGTTAAGAGTGTGGGATTCTGGATCCATGTGGCCTGTCTGCACAATTTATTAATTCTTTAACTTTGGCTAATTTACCCACCCTCTCGATGCTACAGTTTCTTCATGTACAAAACAAGGATAATAGTCTCTCTTAGTATTTTGTAAGCATTAAAATGAGTTAATATATTGATATTAAGTGCTTAGCTCAGTGTCTGGCCTATAGAAGAATTCATTAAGTGTTAGCTAACCTTAGTTAGCAACGTTAAAAGGAAGACAAGACCAGCTATAGAAAAATCAAGCAACTGCAATTTTTCCACACAACCAAGGAGTATGGTGACTTACACTCCACACCTCTGCTACATAAATAATCAAAATCATAAATGTTAAAGAGCATAGAAAATAGACCAAAAGACAAAGAGGTTCTTATAAACACAGCTGAAATGAAAAAAATCTTAATAAAACAAAACACATTTGATAAAAGTATGAATTACCTATATTAGTTCAAGAAGTACACCAAGTCAAAAAGAAGTATGCCAAAAGAAGCTGAAAAATTCATGAAAGAATTGTCTTTAAAAGGACCCAGGAACAGATCATTTAATGAGTACGTGCTTTCAAACTTTCCCAAAGGGACAAATAATCAGACAACTTGGGAGAAGACACACTGCTTCTAGGTCACCAAGAAAGCTAGGCCACCTGCACGTACAGACTGCATAACATAAAACTATTGACCAATAGTTTTCTCAAAAGCTTCTGCTGCTCTAGGATTTATTTCTCTGTGCCTCACACATGCTATGAAATTCCAGTGAGGGGTGGTGGCAGGTCACCCTGTCCTTCCCTGTTGGATTCTTCCATATACTTCCAGACCTGCTCAGGGCAAGGCCAGATTGACCTGGGAGGGGCCTTCCAGTCACGCCATCAGATTACTGTGGACCCAAGTGCCAAGAATATAGATAAGAACGCACAGAGGAAAACGTCTGCACAGGAGATAAAAAGAGGGAGAGAGATGAATACAAGATTGCAATAATAATAATAGCAACGCGAAGGCATAGAGCAGCTACGTTCTGTTGTCAAAAACATAAACTGACTCAACTCTTCTAGGAAGCAATTGGAAATGTGATTTAAAATCTTAAGTGCACACACTCTGACTTAATAATCCAACTGTTATCAGTGCGTGCTGTGGAATTAATATGAAATGAAAATAAAGATTTACATACAAACACGGACTTAATAGAATTTCTGACAACAAAACAAAAACAGGAAGCAACCCGCATGTCTAAAAATGAGAACAGTTAAACAGAGCAGGGATCTTTATATGATGAATTATACAATAATTAAAAGTAATATTTTGGAAAAAATTACCAGCAAGCACAAGACTGTGATTGTTTGGGGGAACCGAGAAGTAAAATCTGAAGTATATTTTTAAAATGTACCTATGTAGGAATGATCACTAGAAGAAAATAGACCACAAGCAACTTGAAAGTGGTGTCTAGGTGATGCGACTTTGAGTGATTACTATTTCATTTTATATATTTTCCTTATTGTCTTAACTTTCTACTCCAAGTTGTATTATCTCTTCAACCAGCAAAAAAATAAAAAAACAAATAATTGTTGCATAGGGATAAATATTTATAAAAAGTATAAGTCCTCACTCCCCAAGGACAAAAGCATTCTTAGTACAGGGGAGAATGCCATTTCTCCAAACCTGACTCTTTAACACTGGAGCACTTTAAAGCACAGAAAACAGAACTCAAAACAACCAAATCTCTCAAGAAAGACAGGCTGAGCGGCTCCTAGGGAGGTTTCCACACTCAGCACCCATTTTTCAAGTGTGGCTGTTTTAGTATCTCCCTGGGTTTCAAAAACACTAGCTTCAGGGAGCAGGAAGAGATTTTTGCTCGCAAGCGCACGCATACACACACACACACACACACACACACACACACACACACGCTTGCACACTCAGCCGTGTGGCCCCAGCAGACAACTCGAGTGGGTGCCGCCCCTCGGTACCTGTTCGTGGTGCGCGGAACCGGGGTCGCCGGGCTCCGGAGCGTCCTCAGCGCGGCGGAGGTGCCACGGGTGTCCGCCCTGCTCTCCTCCGCCAGGAGCCTGCACGGTCGGGGAGAAAACTAAGTTGTTACACCTCGCGGGGAGCCGCCGGCTGTCAGGCTGGGCGCCGCGCTCCAAGCCCGGTCGGGGCATCTTCGCACCCCCCGACTCCCGGGGCAGCGCCCCACCCTCGGACTTGGGGAAGCCTTAGGGCAGGAAGGAAGGGAAATCAAGGACCCAAATAGAGAGTCCGGACGCCTCTGGACACCCGACGGCGGGTCCGGCTCCGCGGCGCCCTAGCCCACAGTGATGCACGCCGGAGCCTCGCACTCCTCGCGGGTCCCTCTCCACCCCGCGCCGCGCCCACCGCGCCCAGGGTCGCCTATCCGCGACCCCCGTGCCTGCCCCGCCCTCCAGCAGCCGCTACCCCTCTCCTGCTCCCTTGGTGGCCAAAAGTCTGCGCGCCCCAGGCGAGCCGCGGAGGAGGGAGCGGGGCCCGGGGTGCGCGGCGGGGCGCA